TGCTGAAGGACCAAGTCACTACAGTAGGAGCCCAGAACCTAGGGCTGCTCTGCACATCGTCTGGCACCCACAGAAAGCACAAGCAGCGTCGTTGCTGTTGCATTTCAGGGCTAACCGAAGCAATCCTGGCACGACCACACACCTTCAAGACAAACCACAAAGCTGTTTTTTAGAGAAGGCAGCGACATGCCTTGTAGGTTACAGCATCTGAGGTGTCAGAGCAAAACCCAAAGCCCGGGATGGTCCACGCTGCCCACTTCTCCTCTGAGCGATGGGTCGGCACCCCTGCAGCCTCCGTGTAGTTCTGGGAGGGGGATGTCCCACGCCGTAGTTGGGGGAGCCGCATTTTTTTTCCCCGTCTTGCTGTCCCCCGTCCATTTTCTGCACACTGGCAGCTCCGTGCCTCCACGCAGTGCAGATTCACACCGGCCAGGTTCAGCTCACCCAACGGTCCCCAACGTACCGTCCAACCCAGCTTCCCTTGTTTCGCCGCTCCACTCATTTCCAGCTCCCTGCAAATTTTGCTAGCAATGCCCCTCTATTTCTTCCTATGCCTCGATAAAGACACTAAAGGGTTCTGAGTAAACAGCAGGCTCCTTCCAGCTCCCACCAGGAACAGAGCCGGTACCTCCTCTCCCAGCTCTTCCCTGGCGCAGGGCAGACTTGAAAAGCCCATTTGTAGCGTAGGTCTGTGGGCAAGTCATGAAAGTGCTTAGAAAAATGGGGACGCGAAGCCCAAGTCAATGAAGTTATTTTGCGTCTCTGCTGCAACAGCAACAGCTGAATTCAGGACTGTAGATCCTGGCCCCGCATCAGGGCTCAAACTTATGGGAAAGTTCAGCCATGTCCTAAGAGCAGACCCAGGAAATAAAGGCCAGCCTTGTCAGGAGCAAGGTGCTGTGTTACATCTCTGTTGCGTCTCATAATGAATACATTCACCCTTTGGCAAAAACGAGGTTTTTTATCTTCATCTGCGAAGGAATCCGGCTGACAGTTCGGTACTGCCAACATCAATCCATCTGCGATCATGAATCAGGCTCCAAAAACCATAGGATTGGCTTGCAAATAATAAAACTTGGGTCCTTTATATTTGCCTTCTGGTTCCTGAGCCTTTAGGTCAAACTTGCTTCATGTTTTCTGGGCAATCGAGAAGTCGAGACGATTCCTTTTTTTTTTATTTTTTTTCGAGTGAAAACTGAGATTCTCCTACAAACTACTGAATAAACAGCGTGGGCTCCAATAACATCCCCCGCCACGCAAGCCTCGTGGCAGGATCGTGAGCTGGCCAGACTGCAGGCTGGAGGAGCTGGCTGCACACCATCCCTTTCCCTGGAAGTCTGCAGCCCAGCATCCCCGATGTTTGATCCGGAGCGCGTCTGTGGGCCAGGAGAAACGCACACGCGAGGGCTGCCAGCTGCAGGCGACGGAGCTGGAAACCTGCAGGAGTGTGAATCGTTGCAAGCCGGACTAAAGAAGTCCAGCTGCAGGAGTGAGTCCTGTCCCAGGGATGGAGGAGCTGCTGCCTCGCTTGACATCGGGCTGCAAAAACACGTAGCCTGATGTGGTTTCTTCTGCTCGGGCGTGAGGGCTGCCCATCCTGGGGAACGCAGGAGTAAATCCTCATTATCAGTCATCCCGCGGTGAAAACCACAGTCCCCTTTCAAGCCCCACAGCCAGCCCACCCCACCGACCCTCAGCCAGCTACACAGTCCAAGCTGGCACCAACCTCCTTTCATCAAGCAGGGAAAATCACCTCCCATGAGTGGATTCTGTTTTTTTTTTTTTAAACACGGGCTGTGGCATGAGACCCTGAGCAAAACCACTGCAGCCTCGTGGGAACTGCGGCTGGCGGGAGGGCAGATGCGCTGTCACCCAAATTTGGGGTTGGCCAAGGCAGAGGCAAGATTCCTGTTGTAACTCCGTAGTCTCCCTCTGTCCCTGCTGATGACTAGTGACCATGGCCTTTATTTTTGGCATGCATTCAAGGAGTCGATGCATCCTGCATCAGCATGCCGGAGGTCCAAGCTAGAGTCAGTGGAGACAGAGCCCTCCCATCCCAGCAAGATGGATATGAAATGGGATGATGCCTCTCTGCCACACTCCGCGGGGTAGGGCTAAATCGAGCAAAATCCAAGTTTTCTTCGTACCACAACTTCATCAAACTCCCATCCTACACCTGGAGCCTCAGGGGTTTCCTCTCCTTGCCTGGGGATTTGAAAGCTTGTTCATGTCACTTCTGCAGGGAGACACAAGCTCAGGGTACCTCCCCAGCCCCCGGCGCCAGCCCAGCC